AGTTTGCTAAAAAACACCTGAAGGACTCCAAGATGGTGAGAAATAAGATTCTCTGGTCTGATGAGACCAAGATAGAACTTTATGGCCCAGCCAGAGCCCTGACTTAAACCCAATTGAGCATCTCTGGAGAGACCTAAAAATGGCTGTCCACCAACGTTTACCATCCAACCTGACAGAACTGGAGAGGATCTGCAAGGAGGAATGGCAGAGGATCCCCAAATCCAGGTGTGAAAAACTTGTTGCATCTTTCCCAAAAAGACTCATGGCTGTATTAGATCAAAAGGGTGCTTCTACTAAATACTGAGCAAAGGGTCTGAATACTTAGGACCATGTGATATTTCAGTTTTTCTTTTTTAATAAATCTGCAAAAATGTCAACGATTCTGTGTTTTTCTGTCAATATGGGGTGCTGTGTGTACATTAATGAGGAAAAAAAATTAACTTAAATGATTTTAGCAAATGGCTGCAATATAACAAAGTGTGAAAAATTGAAGGGGGTCTGAATACTTTCCGTACCCACTGTATATAAAGTTGTAAATATGTATGTAAAGTTGTAAATAAAGAAGATTATTGTAGCATGTTTACAAGAAAATACTATTTCCTTTTCCTTTTTTTTCTTTATACTATTGCTTAATAATTCATGTTACTTGCCATAATTACTTAGTATTTACTGTAAATGTGATTTTTTTTTCTGTGCAATAGATTTGATATTTTGTTATATTAAGCAAAGACATTCATGAACTTGTAAGGGTCTGAATACTTTTTATGATTAAGAGATACAAAGTAAAACAAAATCTAATAAATGAAAAAAGTAAGTGGAAACAGTTAATATACAAGCTAACTCAGCAAGTAACTCTTGTAAATTCAAATGCCTCCATTTCTCTGTATTTGTGCTTGTCAAGATAATCTTCAGATAATGTGTGGATTTCGGTTACATAATTATTTGCTGAATCAGAAGGTAAAAGACACATTAGAAGTCTGCACAGCTCGTGTTTCAGGGCAAACAGAGTGTAAACACCTGCTCCAGAGCCCTCGGGGTGTGCTAGTGAAAGCTGCTGTCTTCACAGGAGACTAGCTGCCAGCGCTCGCAACTTCACAGAGTAACACTCACCAGAAGTCTGAGTGTATCTCAAACAGGATCTCAGCCTTAATAGACATGTTTCCTGTGACACTTAATGAAGCGGCCAAAATACTGTGGCTTTATATATATATATA